TTCTGTCTAGGTCACCATTCTTGGGATATATCCAGGGGTGAGATATGGGTGTATGCAACTGTCAGAAGCTTGAGTTACTATTCCAGGCCCACACTTAGTTTTCTAAGTGCATTACCCCCACAAATGGAACCTCTGGGTTCAGACCTTAGGATTCTCTTCCCCCAGATCCCTCAACCAGAGACACAGGCTCCTCACCAAGGTCCTCAGATACTTGAATGATGACATCTGTCACTTTTTGGCACAGTGGAGGTGACAACTTGTTACTCGTAGATTTTGATTTCAGCATCTTGAGAGGTTTGGAGGATAGCATCTGCTGACAACTATTGGAGAGAAGGGGACTCAAAAAGGAAGGAAAGTTGAAGGTGGAGTTTGTTGAAGACAATAGCAATCCCTGGTAGAGCAAGGCAGAAGAGGAAACCTAGGAGAGGATAAAGCTGGACCAGTGGTGGGGAGGGGGCGGAGCAACATGGCGGCGAGGAGACGCTGCGAGTAAGATCTCCCATTAAAAAAAGTGAATAGGGAGGAAAAAGCGGCAGGTCCCAGTGAGAACTGGGACACGGAAGATAAACGGGTGACGCCAGCGAACTGCCCGAAGAAGAAAGTGGCCATAAAAGAGGACTAGAAGGGAGGGAAGCGCAGAACCCTGCTCCCCTCCCCCGCCCCACAGAGGCGGCACTCTCCGACCAGCAGAGAGGAGGAAACACAAACCAAAACAACCGACAAGAAAACGACGCAGCAAGCGGGACTGTGAGCGGAATGGAACTATTGCAGCCACCACACCCCGTGAACGGGAGCTGAGGCGAACCCTGCAGGATCCGCCGCGGCGGTGAGCGAACGGCTCCGGGCCGCCATTAGAGAAGAACAAAGACCCGGGAGACGCGCACACAGCCCGGGCTGCCGGTAAGCCTGCGCGGGAAACGCGGCGCGCCTGGCGCGCTTGAAAAGCAAGTGCAGACTGGATCGCGGCTGCCCAGGTCCCCGCGCCTGTGACCTAGGCTGGCGGGGAGACGACCTAGGCTTGCGGGGAGACGCACGGAGGTCCTCACTGAGGTGAAGGTCCCTCCCTGAGTAAGCAGGAACCAGGCGCCCAGGCACGGGAGCCGGGTGCAAAAGCGCCATTCCCGCGCCACTGAACTGGGCTACAGCCCGCGTCCTGGACCTGAGGGCTTTGAACTGAGACCCGGGGCACGAAAATTCGGGGTGGTTTCTCCACGACGGTGGGGCACAAGCAGACACAGCACCCCAAAGCTGTTGAGGTGTACCCTACCATTCCCGCTCTGTTCTCTGTCCCACGGGGTGGGGGAGGCGAAAAACAGCCCCCCAAGGACAATAGGAGAAATCTCTGGCGCCACCTAGCGACCAGAAAAAAAAAGTCACTAACACCCTATAAAACAGGACATTTCTTAAGTCTGCTTGAAAAGGCAGAAGGTTCTGGAGGACCCAGTGGCCAGCCGGGAAGTTATTCCACGCCAGGCCCCTTCCGACCAGCAGTCTGAGCCCACAGAGGGAGCAGGCACCCACGTCCGGGGCAGACCGGGTGCGCAGAAGAGTGTGCCTGAAACCGGAGGCGCAGGGACTGCATCCTGCTTCGCCATTTGAGAACAGGGACATTTCTTCAGTAAAAACTGCCTAAAACCAGCAGAAAGCTCCCCCAGAAGACAGAGATGGCTCCTGGAAGAGCCAGAGGGGAGCGGAGAAGTTCACCCAAGATGTCAGTCAGTCCGAGCAACACAGTGTCCCAACGCATACGACAAATTAGAAAACAGACAGTAGGGAGTAGAAGAACCACACGCAACCTAAAAACTCCTCAGGAAAGAAGCACACCACAAAAAGAAAACCACTCCCAGATGCAACGACAGCAAACTTGGAAGAACTTCTGAGCCTTCCAGAAAGAGAATTTAAAAATTGCCATGATTAAAAAAGTGATAGATCAGAAGAAGGAAATTGAGTCCCTAAAGAGGGAAGTAAGAGAAATGCGGGAGATCAAAGAATAATGGAGGAACTAAAGAACTCTGGGAAAAGCAATGAAAGCAGAATAGATGAAATGGAAGAACGAATAAGTAATCTTGAAGACACAGAAATAAAAAGAACCAAAACAGAAAAGGAAAGAGAAGTACGAAGGAAAAAGAATGAAGAAAGACTTCGGGAACTATCTGACTCCATGAGGAAAGGAATATAAGAGTTATAGGAATTCCAGAAGGAGAGGAGAGAGATGTAGGAACAGAGAAAATTTCATGGATATAATTGAAGAGAACTTCCCAAATGAGAAGAAGGAGCTGAAAATTGATATACAAGAAGCAAGAAGAACACCAAACTTCCACGACGAAAGGAAAAACACAGCAAGACACATAATAGTAAAGCTCCCAAGAATCCAGGACAAGGAAAAAATAATGAAGCTGACAAGAGGGAAGAAACAGATAACATTCAAAGGAAACCAATCAGGCTGACATCAGACTTCTCTGAAGAAACACTACGGGCAAGGAGAGAGTGGAGGGACATAGTCAACAGACTCCAAGAAAACAGATGCCAACCAAGAATACTCTATCCCGCAAAGCTCTCTTTCCTCCATGAAGAAGAATATGGACCTTCCCAGACAAAGAGAAACTCCGGAGTTTCATTGCGACTAAACCCCCACTCCAAAAAATACTACAAGGAATCCTAAGCCAGAACCTCAGAGGGACGAATAACAACGAAAGAAGACCGAAAAAAAAAAAGTTATTAAAAGAATAAATAAATAAAATCAAAGGAAAGACAAACATAATGGCAAATACAGATGCAACATATCAATATTAACTCTAAATGTAAATGGACTAAACTCTTCAATAAAAGACACAGAGTTGCAGCCTGGATTAAGAAACAAAGCCCAACCTTTTGCTGTCTCCAGGAAACACATTTAGCTACAAAAGATAAAAATAGGCTCAAAGTCAAAGGATGGAAAACAATCCTACAAGCAAATGGGCCAAAAAAGAAAGCAGGAACAGCTATACTTATATCAGATAAAACAGACTTCAACTCAAAAAATAAAAAGAGACCCCAATGGTCACTACATTATGATTAAGGGGACAATATTTCAAGAAGAAATAACACTCATTAACATATACTCACCAAACGAAAGAGCACCAAAATATATCAGACAACTGTTGTCCTCTCTGAAAACAGACATCAGAGAAAACACATATGTAGTGGGAGACTTCAACACACCACTATCAACAATGGATAGATCAACAAGACAAAAAATAAGTAAAGAAACTAAAGCTCTAAATAAGGACCTAGAGCATTTGGGCTTAACAGACATCTATAGAACACTAAACCAAAAAAAAACGGAGTACACATTTTTCTCAAGCGCACACGGATCATTCTCCAGGATCGATCACATACTGGGGCACAAGACAAACATCAACAGATACACCAAGATTGAAATCATACCAACCATCTTTTCTGACCACGAAGGCATCAAACTAGAAATAAATCATAAAAAGAAGGCAAGGTACTATCCTACCTCATGGAGATTAAAAGCCACACTACTGGAAGACCACTGGACTAACGAGGAGATCAAAGAAGAAATTAAAAAATTCTTTGAATTGAATGACAAGGAGGACACCAATATCCTAAATGTATGGGATGCAGCAAAAGCAGTAATAAGAGGAAATAATATAGCAATAGAAGCTCACATCAAAAAACAAGAAGAACTCAAAGAAACAACCTAATCTCGAAGCTCAAAGATCTAGAAAAAGAACAACAAAAAAACCCGAAACCAGTAGAAGAAAGAAATAATAAAACCAAAGCAGAAATAAATGAAATTGAAACTAAAAAAACAATCCAAAGATCAATGAAACCAAGAGCTGGTTCTTTGAAAAAATAAATAAAATAGACAAACCCCTAGCCAGGCTCACAAAGGAAAAAAGGAGAAAGCACAATACACAGAATCATAAATGAAAGAGGAGAAATCACAACGGACACAGCAGAAATCAAAAGAATAATCAGTAACTACTATGAACAGTTATATGGAAACAAGTTCAACAATCTAGAGGAGATGGACAAATTCCTACAACTCTACAATCACCCAAAGCTAGATAAAGAAGAAATAGAACACCTAAACAGACCAATTACAATTAGTGAAATTGAAATGGTAATCAAAAACCTCCCCAAAAACAAAAGCCCAGGACCTGATGGATTTACAAATGAATTCTACCAAACATTCAGAGACGAATTAGTGCCTATCCTTCACAAACTCTTCCAAAAAATTGAGAAGGAAGGGACAATACCAAACACGTTCTATGAAGCCAATATTACACTAATACCAAAACCGAATAAGGACAACACAAAAAAGGAAAACTATAGGCCAATCTCCCTAATGAACACTGATGCAAAAATCCTCAATAAAATTTTAGCTATCAGAATCCAACAATGTATCCATAAGATAATTCACCACGACCAAGTTGGATTCATTCCAGGGGCACAAGGATGGTTTAACATCCGAAAATCAATCAACGTTATCCAAACATCAACAAAAAGAAATATAAAAACCATATGATAATATCAATAGATGCTGAGAAAGCTTTCGACAAAGTGCAACACCCATTCATGATAAAAGCCCTTGAAATTCTTGGGATACAAGGAACATACCTCAACATCATAAAGGCCATCTATGACAAGCCAACAGCCAGTATCATTCTCAATGGTGAAAAGCTGAAAGCAATTCCATTAAGATCTGGAACAAGACAAGGATGTCCACTCTCACCACTGCTTTTCAATATAATACTGGAAGTCCTAGCCAGAGCAATAAGACAAGAGAAAGACATCCAAGGAATCCAAATAGGAAAAGAAGAAGTCAAACTATCACTATTTGCGGATGATATGATAATATACATAGAGAACCCCAAAATCTCCACAGAAAAACTAATTCAACTCATCAATCAATTCAGTAAAGTGGCAGGATACAAAATCAACACGCAAAAGTCAGTAGCCTTCCTATACACAAACAATAAATCTGAAGAAGAAGAAATCAAAAAACCACCCCTTTTATTATCGAAACAAAAAAAATCAAATATTTGGGATAAATCTAACAAAAGAGGTAAAGGACCTATACAAAGAAAACTATAAAACACTGTTAAAAGAAATAGAAGAAGACACAAAGAAATGGAAAGACATCCCCTGCTCATGGATTGGAAGAATAAACATTATTAAAATGGCCATCCTACCAAAAGCAAATATACAGATTCAATGCTATTCCAATCAAAATCTCAATGGCATTCTTCAAAGAAATAGAACAATTATTGATGAAATTCATATGGAATCACCAAAAACCCGAATAGCCAAAGCTCTCCTGAAAAAAAAAGAAGGAAATGGAGGCATCACACTCCCAGACTTCAAACTATACTACAAAGCCATAATCATCAAAACTGCATGGTATTGGAACAAGAACAGACATACAGACCAATGGAATCGAATAGAAAATCCAGAAATAAACCCACAGATTTATGGTCAACTAATCTTTGACAAAGGAGCAAAGACTATGCATTGGAGCAAAGAAAGTTTGTTCAATAAATGGTGCTGGGAAACTGGGTCGCTACATGCAAAAGAATGAAGCTTGACCACTACCTCACACCATACACAAAAATCAACTCAAAATGGATTAAAGAGCTAGACATAAGACCTGAAACCATAAAATACATAGAAGGAAATATAGGCGAAACACTACGGGATTTGCACATCAAAGACATCTTTACAGACACATCACCCAAAGCAGTGATAGTGAAGAGAAAGATAAACAGCTGGGACTACATCAAATTAAAGAGCTTCTGCACAGCAAAAGAGACAATAACAAAAACAAAGAGAAACCCCACCAACTGGGAGAACATTTTTGCACCCAACACTAATGATAAAGGACTGATCACAAAAATCTGCAAAGAGCTGATGAGACTCAGCAACAACAAAGAAATAATCCAGTCAAAAATGGGCAGAAGAGCTAAAAAGAAACTTCTCTGAAGAGGAAATGAAAATGGCCAACAGACATATGAAAAAATGTTCAACATCACTTGTAATCAGGGAAATGCAAATCAAAACTACCATGAGATACCATCTCACACCAGTGAGAATGGCACATATTAAAAAAACTAGCAACAACAAATGTTGGCGAGGATGTGGAGAAAAAGGAACTCTTGTGCACTGTTGGTGGGAGTGCAAACTGGTCCAACCACTATGGAGAGCTGTGTGGAGATTTCTGGACCTACTAAACATAGAGCTTCCATATGATCCAGCAATTCCACTCCTAGGTATTTACCCAAAGGACACAGAAACATCAATTCCAAAGAGCACCTGCACTCCTATGTTTATAGCAGCACTGTTTACAATAGCTAAGCTTTGGAAACAACCCAAATGCCCAAAAATAGATGACTGGATCAAGAAGATGTGGTACATATATACCATGGAATATTACTCAGCATTCAAAAAAGATAAACACATGCAATTTGCAGCAACATGGATGGCGCTGGAAGGGATCATGCTCAGCGAAATAAGCCAAAAAGAAAAAGAAAAATACCGGATGGTCTCACTCATAGCAGGAATCTAGAAAACTTAAATAAGGGACCAGGAAAATGAATATAAGAAAGTGAAAATCAAAATCCAAAAAAACTATGAACCAGAGACACTTTTTGGGGGGTGGGGGGGGGAGGGGAAGGATTGGGGTCAGAATGGGGCGTTTGCAATTGTATGGGGGAATATAAAAATAAAATTTAATATTTAAAAAAAAAAAAAAAAAAAAAAAGCTGGACCAGTGTCAGAGGGTGGGAAAGGGATGGTCAAGGCCATGGAACCAGCCCTGGAGCTGTGAATGGACTGAACAAATAGTGCCCTGCTGACTGGAAACTCTTCCCATGCCTCAGGCACAATGGGTCTAAGCCCAAATCACCTATTTGATGGAGGTGGTCTTACCCGGCTGGAGTCAGGAAGGTGTCAGAGGTGCCCTCACCTGACCAGAAACTTGGAGGGCGTCATTAAAGTTCTCAATGGTCTTTTCTGAGACATCCCATGCCAAGTCCCTGTGAGTCGTCTCTGGGGAGGCTATCGTAGCTATTAACATGCCTGTAAGGAACAAAGAGAGAGAAAGGAAGCTGTGTCCCTCCTGCTGGAAGTCTTTCCTTTAAGAATAAGAAATCAGGGCCTCCCTAGTGGTGCAAGGGGTTAAGTCTCAGCACTAAGACACTGTCAGCAGCCACAGTGGTGAGAGTTTGATCCCCAGAGGGAGCTGACCCACATGGCGCAGCAGACCTCTCCTGACTCGCCCGCTGCTCCCCTCAGCAGTGTATTTCAGTTAGTCTGCCTGTTCTGTTCCCCACTCTGTCTCTGGTGAATCCTCTCACCCTCCTGCGCTTCTGTCTGTACCCAGTGCTTGTATAAATAAATAAATCTTTTAAAAAAAAATTAGAAAACAAATGGGAACATTTGTCCATAGCATTGCCTCCTGCTGACCAACTAGGGTAAGAACAACAAACCTGTGCTGTGGGGAGACGAGGAAAACTGGTTAAGAAAACAATCCAGCAGATGATAATCTTGATATGTTACTCTTTTGGCTTCAGGTGTTCCAGGAGAAGAAAAAAGAAAACTATCTAATAATCACTATTATTTGAGGGAGTTAAAAGCAGGCAGAATTAAAATATTAGACAACACAACACAAAAGAGGAGATGAGGGAGGTTGTGAGGCAGCAAAGACCTCACAGATGCTTACCTTGTTCGGGATGATAGACAATAGGTCTATCATCAGAACTAGACTTTCTGAACCGGAGTTTAGAATGAATGCCTGAAATTTTCTAAGGGACAAATTACAGGTATTGTTTGAGTCGCAAATTCTTATTTCTAAATTTTCATTTCCTTTCATTTCCTTTCATTTCTTGCAGTACCTCAATCTCAATACATCCCACATTGAATGCATTATCCTCTCCATCCAAACTCAACCCCTATCTCTGTCATCTTTGATACCTCCTTTCCTGCACCACCCACATCCTCTCAAGGGCAGAGACTTCTACTTATTAAAGCTCCCTCAGGGGCCTCCCCCCAGGTGGTGGTGGCGCAGTGGGTTGAGCACAGTGCTGTAGAGCTGTCTACAGCCTCTGAAGCACGGGTTCAATTCCCTGCCAGCCAGGGAGACACCCACTTGGAGTGGCAGACCTCTCCTGTCTCGCCCACTGCTCCCCTCAACAGTGTATTTTCTGCCAGTCTGCCTCTTCTGCTCCCCACTCTATCTCGTGAATTCTCTTAGCCTCCCGCACCCCGGGCCTGTACCCCAGTTCTTGTATAAATAAATAAAATCTTTAAAAAAAAAAAACCTCCCTCAAGTCCATCCCTCCCTTACACAGGCACTGTCCTGTCCAGGTTCATTTAGGACAGGGGCTGCAACTGACCTCCACCTCCACCCCAGAGTCTCTCTAGACCTGACCCTGCTCCAGTCTCTTTCTGTCCTTCTTACCCACACAAATGGAAAACAGCACTACAAGGAAGAAGTTCAGAAGACACAGAGCAAGTGTCTCCTCGGAATACCATCTAATTGTTGGAAAATAATCACACCCTGGCAACGAAGCTTGGAATGTTCCACTAGGAACAAACCCACACCTTCTATTCCAAAGAACGGAAGGCAGAAGGCAGCCCCCTCTCATAAGCGTGACTCCTGCAGAGAAATGGCTTTCTCAGAACTTCCTTAAAACTCCTGCCATAGTACTTACTTAATAAATATCTCCCAACCTCCCTGGTGGTGCAGGGGTTAAAGTCTCAGAGTTTTGAAGCTATTTCCAGCCACTGTGGCATGAGTTCAACCCCTGGTCAGGGAGCAAGAAAGGCAAGGTATATTGTTTCTAAATCAAGCACCCAAAGTTACCAGTCCCCTAGTGGGTGAAAGTCCACCCAAGCAGGATTGACCCAGAGCAAAGCCCCAAAGCCTGCCCCAAGTCTAAAGCATCTTCCAGTGGGGACCCCAGAAAAGGATCAGAAACCACCAGACAAGTATGGAAGGAAAAGAGCAAAATCAAAATCAAGACAAAAACAGCCCACGGGTCTCTCACCCACATCTGTGTCACCCAGGCCACGACCAAAAGGCAAGCGGTTTCTTCACATGTCTCTCAGCTTCCAGTGCCTCCTCCAAGTCTCTTTCTGGCTCTTCATCCTGCTTCCTACCTTTTCTCAGTCTCCTCTGCAGCTGCTTCTCTCCCTGTTCAACTCCACCCTCCCTTGGGTGGGGCAGGAAACCCCTTTCCTGGGGACCACGCTGTTACAATCCCCCTTTAATTTTTAGTTCACCATGTACTATGGTGGCACAGAACTCAGGGTGTAGTCTAATTGTTAGGGGGAAAAGGATGTCCTAAAGCTAATTTCATACAGGCTTTGTGGACTCCACCCCCATTCCAGACCAAAGCTATCAGGACACTGGGAAAGACAAATCCCATCACCACCAAAGGGAAGGTGGCTGGAACCGGAGGGTGGAGTTAAGCAGCCAGGTTTGGTATAAAACCAGACACGTGGGCTTTGGGAGGCTCCCTTTTTTGGCTCTCCGCCAGCTTGCAGCACTCAGCCAGCTCTCAGAGTGCCATTGGGTTTCCAGGTCGGCAGATCGGGTAGGACGTATTGAAGACTTTATTTCCCTATTTTCTCCCTGAGTTGTACATTTCCTCAATTCCTTTTCCCTTGTAAATAAGCCTTTTATTAACCTTTTGTGTGTGCCTGTAGTGGAGTATTCATAAGTCCCTTTTAAGCGTGTGGGTGAGGACCCACAGCCAGGCAACCTGTTTTATATCGGGGCTGCTCCATAACATTAGGAGACGTCTTTTTTCAGGGTTACAATGTGTGTAAGAGAAGCAACAATTAGGCAGCAGCATTGTCCATGAATGTCCAGTATGACAGTTTTCCATAACTGGAATATAGTCCATTTCCAAGCCGAAAGAAAAAAAAAAATCTGGAGCCATTAGCTAAAACAAGACGGCAAGTATATCAAATTCACAGGGAAAAAAATCTTAAAATTGGTTGAACTCATGTAAAAAAAAAACAAGTTCTCTCAACCTTGATCCCAAATTGTTAACAGCATAGCAGAAGTTTGCAAACTAACTCTACTTTTAAACCATATTGCCTATTTTTGCATACAATCACAGGGCAGAATAACTAAACAGCAATTTTAGCTGGCTTGTTGGAATCAGGAGCAAACTCTTGACTTCTGGTCCACGTAGGCTTGAAGAACAAAGTTGGTCTCACCAGACTCCACCTGGGCTTCCTCTTCTCGAGGGTACCAGTGCTATTTCATTTTCTGGGTTGTCCAGTCCTGCCAATGCAGGCAAGCTTCCTCACCCTCTTTGGAGGTCTCTGGAACCCTACAAAGCAATAGGTTCTCCTCTTCTTGGTTCAGCTGTTTCAACTTCCTGGAAGAACTCCACTCAAAGCCACACAGTGAAACTCAAGTCCAATTTTTTTAGTTTAAGCTGACAAAAGCCCTAAGGATGTTATGCAAAAACAGACTCTGAGATAAGTAGTAAAAAAAATTACTACCACTATTTTATGCTGTGTTGGTATCAAGGGGAGAGAAAATGTGCACACAAGTTAACTCTGCTGAAAAAAGAAAAAAAAAATTCAACATTGCTGCAGGTCCTGGTCAGTCAAAAGAAGAAAACTTTGTTGCATCAGAACAAAATATAACAAAATTTCCTGTATTAAGTCAAAACTTAGTAGAAGTCAGGTGTATCTCCAAGAGTCTATTCAGTCCTTTGTAGGAATTTTTTTTTTAAAACCCATCAAAAGTTCCTTCAATAGGAATCTGTTGAGGCCTTTCCTTCTTATTTTCTCCAGACACAATTTCTGTAGCTATCAAACAATTGAAGTATACGATATTACAAGGTGACAATCACCATTGACAATTTACATACATATCAGATACTGAGAGGTTTTATACATGTTTTGGAAAACCAATGTTAACATTTCTGCACATGTCAAAGTTTTACCATTTTCCCAAGTGACAAGGCTTCCCCGCTAGTTTTGTAACAGGGTGGTCCCCAGGAAAGGGGGAGGTTCCAGGTTCCCTGCCCTTCCCAAGGGAGGGTGGAGCTGAGCAGGGAGAGAAGCTGCAGAGGAGATTGAGAAGGAAGGAAGCAGGATGGAGAGCCAGGAGGAGACCTGGAGGAGGCGCATGGAGCCTAGAGACATGTGAAGAAGCTGTGCTTGTCTTTTGGTCATGGACTGGGTGACACGGATGTGGGTGAGACCAATGGGGAGGTGACCATGGCAGCTTTTATCTTGATTTTGCTCTTTTCCTTCTGGGCTTGTCTGGTTGTTTCTGACCCTTTTCTGTGGGTCCCCACTGGAAGCTGCTTTAGACTTGTGGCAGGCTTTGGGGCCTTGCTCTGGGCCAACTCCATTTGGATGGAGTTTTATCCATGAGGGGATGGGTTACTTTGGGTGCTTGATTTAGAAACTAGATTCTTTGCCTTTCCTGTATTGTTTCCTAGTTGTATTAAAGTTCTTTCCCATTAAAGTCTCATATGTTTTGGGTTGATGCGGCAGATGGCAGAACCCATTTAGATAGGCAGGTTTGCGGGGTCTGGGCTGCCCCTCTCCTGCCCTGTAATAGATTTACTTTACTCGGTAAACCAAATAGGACAAATTCCTCTAATGCCTTTCCCAGGAGGAAAGGGAGAAACTTTGTAGAGTGTCTCAGGAGCTCCACTGAGGTTCCACAAAATTTCTTTAGATCAACCAAATGACAGGCTACCAAACTTTTACTTGAATTTAGATTTCTGGGAAGCTTTGCCATAACATCAGAAAGCAACAGAAACAACAATATTCAATCTCTATGAAGGCATCAGCTTAGTTCAGTAGTAAAATGTTGACAAGCAAACCATAACTTTTAGTTTTTTCCTCATAACTGGAGATTCTTTTTTTTCCAATGTCTATAGGCACCATGCATACCAATTTGTCAACCACTGGAGGCCAAGACAAGGACCCACAGAAAGGACATACAGACATACAACATATAGACAAAGACAGTTTTTTTAGTGATGTCACGTGGAATATGTTATGTAACTGCAGTTTTACTCCATAGGCTCAGAAAAAAATGTCAAAAAGTCCAAAAAAAATGTGGAGTGTTGATGGCAGAAATCACAGGTTCCAGTTGTCATCCTACAAACCTAAGATTTTGGAAATAGAAAGAAAAAGTTTTATTAATTACAAGAATTACAAGACGTTGTTTATCACTTTAGGGTTTTCAGTGTTCAAGCCTTTTTACTGGAAGCCAATCCTGGGATATCCTGTACAGCAGCTGAAAGAGCAAAAGTAACAGTTAACTTTTAAGCAAAAGGAGTCATTTCTTGTTAGCCACCAAGCAGGCAATACTTAGGTTTCCTGGAGCAGAACCTGAAAAAGCAAAATCAAAATATCAGCAATTAACTTTCAATTAAAAGGAGTCATCTCCTTACTTCTGTTAGCCACTTGGACAGAAGCTGAAAGAGCAGATTCAACATCAAAGCACAGATTACACCTCCCCCACACTAGGGAGGGAGACAGCAACAACACAGGTATGAAAACCTGGTATAGTTACATCATGCACCATAAAGAGTGCTTTCCACAGCAGACCTTCCTCTGTAGCAAGCAGAAACTTAGAATCTTGTCTTACACCAGCAATTAAATCCAGAATTCAAATGGCAAACATGCCCAAAACATATTGTGTAGACTAAATTCACAGCAGCAAATCCTTTCAGACTCAGACAAAATCTTTTTAATTTTTCTGCTCCAGACTTTGCAAAAATTCAAGTTACCTCCAAGAATCCATCAAGGCTACCAGCAATTACCAGTTACTGCTTAAGGTTACTCTTTCCTTAACACCCAGGCATACATTTGCTCTTTTAAACACCACTGCTCCACAATTGGCTTGCAAAACCCCAGGCAGAGGTCAGGAAGTAGCCAAAGACAAAGCAACATAACACTGAAGAATCATTATTGCCTTTAGAAATACTAATGAGACAGCAAAGATCACAAAAAGAAAAAAGGTCCAAAGTCCTAGCAACTAAGAACCGCTGAGTTTTACAAGAGCCTGCCAAGTGGCCTCAGATGCCATCTTTGATTTGGCCACATGGTCCAACATACTACCTAAACTTTTGAGTAAATCTGTTACAGGGCAGGGAGAGGTGCACCCCAGACCCCCAAAACCTGCCTGCTCTAAATGGGTTCTATCGTCCGCTGCATCAACACAAAACATATGAGACTTTAATGGGAAGGAACTTTAATACAATTAGGAAACAATACAGGAAAGGCAAAGAATCTAGTTTCTAAATCAAGCACCCAAGTTACCCGTCCCCTCATGGATAAAAGTCCACCCAAGCAGGATTGGCCCAGAGCAAGGCCCCAAAGCCTGCCACAAGTCTAAAACAGCTTCCAGTGGGGACCCACAGAAAAGGGTCAGAAACCACCAGACAATTTTGAAAGGAAAAGAGCAAAATCAAAATCAAGACAAAAACCGCCATTGTCACCTCCCCACAGGTCTCTCACCCACATTTGTGTCACCCAGTCTATGACCAAAAGGCAAGTGTAGTTTCTTCACATGTCTCTGCATTCCATGTACCTCCTCCAGGTCTCCTCCTGGCTCTCCATCTGCTTCCTTCCTTCCTCAGTCTCCTCTGCAGCTTCTCTCTCAGCTCCACCCTTCTTTTGGGTGGGGCAGGAAACCTGGACCCTCCCCCTTTCCTGGGGACCCCCCTGTTACAAAACTGCTGCACAGAACTTCCACAAAATCAAATCTCTTAGCAAGTGAGTACAAACAAATTACACAGAGACACACAGAATCTTCACAAAGCCCAAGCCAGTTTTTCTTTTTTTTTTTTTTAAAGAGTTTACTTATTTTTAAAGATTTATTTATTTATTTATACAAGCATTGGGTACAGTCAGAAGCGCGGGAGGGTGAGAGAATTCACCAGAGCCAGAGCGGGAGCAGAGCAGGCAGAAGGACGAAGTACACTGCTGAGGGGAGCAGCGGGCGGCAGGAGAGGTCTGCGCGCCACGCGGGGCCCTCCTCTGGTGGCCGGGGAGCCGCCGGGGATCAGAACCGGCACTGCAGAGGCTGTGGGCAGCTTCACAACCCAGCGCTCAACCGCTGCGCCACAGGGGAGGCCCCCAAGCCAGTTTTTCAACAGCAAATCTACATATGAAACAAACGCTAGAGAAACCAAAAATCACATTTGCACTTATGATAGCCAGTGCCATAGAGAAGCCCAATTTCCCCATGGAGCTGAC